ATTGTACATCAAAAAGCAGCCATATTGAATAACAGAAGAGATTTAAGACAGGAACAAAAATGTCTTCCCGGCTCTGCAGACCTCAGGGTGTTAACACTAAGATCTAAAGCTTAATTTTTCATTTCACACTTTAAAACACTCAGGGTGCAACACATGCAGCTGTTACCTGAAGATCTAAAGATGTTCACACCTTGATTTAGGACTTTAGGGCTGGAGCTTCTAAGGAGTGGAGTATTTGCACCTCCTCAGTCAGGCCTCCCATCATCTGCTGTCAGGCCCTTCAGGCTCTGCTGCTTCGCAGAGAGGCTCAAACAGAGCTAAAGTACTCACAGATGTGTGCTTCTAGAAAAACTGGGCCAATATGGGGGTGGGGGGATGGTGGGGGGTGGTGGTTTTAAAGCTAACCTCATTGCCTTGATCAACCTCAGGTTTCGATGTATGCATATACAGCAATATGTATGGTGTGCATGAATACGGATGTGAAAAACATCAGCATTAAGCCTCCTCACTGCAAGCAGGAGGCCTGTGGATGGGCTGCGCTGGAAGAAGCCCGCACTCATCCCGAGCCAAGATGCAGACAAGGCTCCTCTCTCCTGTCACCTCCCTCCCTTCCGTCCTCCTGCCAGTTCTGCCACTTCAGAGGTCAGGCTCACACACATCGCCCTCTTTCTGAAAACATCATTTTCTCACTTGTCAAGGCCGGTGCCGTCCACGGGTTACGCCCAGCTGGAGGATGCACGGCTCGTTCTTTTTTTTGAGTTTAAGTCTTTGTTGCTCTCAGATTTCGGCGGACAAATCCTTTAATAACCCAGGCATCTCAGAACGCTGTCACCCTGCGTGTGATTCTGCCAACATCTGCCGAGGCGCCACTACTGAGGTCTCCCTCAATTTTATGAATCTAATTCTTTCCACATTCTGGATCCAGGTCCAGGCATTAAGGTAAGAGGCAGGCTGTGTGCGTGCGCCTTCCCGTCTTTCGCCAAAGGCAGCGTAGTGTAGCTGGAGCCTGCTGTGTTGATAGAACCAGAGCCACCAAATAAAAAGCCCCCAAAATAATTACCAGCCTCATTCTGGTTTCAAAGCATAATCCCTTCTGTCTTACTCACCCTTCTTTAACACCCCGTCGTCATTCTCTTGACCCAAATTCTAATTTTTTTGGCTCTGAGTGAGCTCACAGTGATGATGAGAGTTAATAAAAAAATCATCTGGAAACCACTTTGATGACATGTTGCTGAGGCAGTCAGGAAGGTTGGAGTATCTGCACCTCTGAACAAAGACCCGTCCTGCAATGTGTTAGTCATTAAATTGCTCTTTGCTTCGCTACCAGCTACACAAAAGTATGTTCACAAATTAAATTTCCTCATGTGTTACACAATGAAATCTGTTACATTGATTTTTTTTTTTAACTAAAAGGGAAATATTGTATTGAACATTTTCATTAAAGATGTGAAAAGTGTGTTTTGTTCCATTTTCTCCCTTTATCTAAGTCCATCAATCTTCACATCCACCACCGACCTTCTTCTTACTGCTGAAGGAAGTATGGCCCAAGCATGATTCTGCCACCACCATGCAGTTGATGTGTTCTGGGTGTTGTGTATGGGAAGCAACATGTGCCTGGATTTGAATAGCCCAGAGCAGGGGTCACCAACGCGGTGCCCGCGGGCACCAAGGGGCCCTCAAGGACCACATGGGGGGCCGTCTTCGTCTTCTGAAAACAGAAGAACTCACTCAGTGGGTTAAGTTTAATTTTCTTTATTCTGTTGCTCTTCTTTTTAATCATTTACAGGTGCTGGTCATAAAATTAGAATATCATGAAAAAGTAGATTGATTTCAGTAATTCCATTTAAAAAGTGAAACTTGTATATTATATTCATACATTACATACAAACTCATATATTTCAGATGTTTATTTTGTTTAATTTTGATGATTACAAATGACAACAAATGAAAATCTCAAATTCATCATATCAGAAAATTAGAATATTGTGAAAAGGTTCAAAATTGATGGCCCCTGGTGCCACACTCTAATCAGCTAATTAACTCAAACCACCTGCAAAAGCCTTTAAATGGTCTTTCAGTCTAGTTCTATAGGCTACACAATCATGGGGAAGACTGCTGACTTGACAGTTGTCCAAAAGACGACCATCGACACCTTGTACAAGGAGGGCCAGACACAAAAGGTCATCGCTAAAGAGGCTGGCTGTTCACAGAGCTCAGTGTCCAAGCACATTAATAGAGAGGCGAAGGGAAGGAAAAGATGTGGTCGAAAAAAGTGTACAAGCAAGAGAGATAACCGCACCCTGGAGAGGATTGTGAAACAAAACCCCTTCAAAAATGTGGGGGAGATTCACAAAGAGTGGACTGCAGCTGGAGTGAGTGCTTCAAGAACCACCACACACAGACGTATGAAAGACATGGGTTTCTGCTGTCGCATTCCTTGTGTCAAGCCACTCTTGAACCACAGACAGCGTCAGAAGCGTCTTGCCTGGGCTAAAGAGAAACAGGACTGGACTGCTGGTGAGTGGTCCAAAGTCATGTTCTCTGATGAAAGTAAATTTTGCATTTCCTTTGGAAATCAAGGTCCCAGAGTCTGGAGGAAAAGAAGAGAGGCACTTCATCCACGTTGCTTGAAGTCCAGTGTAAAGTTTCCACAGTCAGTGATGGTTTGGGGTGCCATGTCATCTGCTGGTGTTGGTCCATTGTGTTTTCTGAGGTCCAGGGTCAACGCAGCCACATACCAGGAAGTTTTAGAGCACTTCATGCTTCCTGCAGCTGACCAACTTTTTGGAGATGCAGATTTCATTTTCCAACAGGACTTGGCACCTGCACACAGTGCCAAAGCTACCAGTACCTGGTTGAAGGACCATGGTATCCCTGTTCTTAATTGGCCAGCAAACTCTCCTGACCTTAACCCCATAGAAAATCTATGGGGTATTGTGAAGAAGAAGATGCAATACACCAGACCCAACAATTCAGAAGAGCTAAAAGCCACTATTAGAGCAACCTGGGCTATCATAACACCTGAGCAGTGCCACAGACTGATCGACTCCATGCCACGCCGCATTGCTGCAGTAATACAGGCCAAAGGAGGCCCAACTAAATACTGAGTGCTGTACATGCTCATACTTTTCATGTTCATACTTTTCAGTTGGCCAACATTTCTATAAATCCTTTGTTTTTATTGGTCTTCAGTAATATTCTAATTTTCTGATATGATGAATTTGAGATTTTCATTTGTTGTCATTTGTAATCATCAAAATTAAACAAAATAAACATCTGAAATATATGAGTTTGTATGTAATGTATGAATATAATATACAAGTTTCACTTTTTAAATGGAATTACTGAAATCAATCTACTTTTTCATGATATTCTAATTTTATGACCAGCACCTGTATGTATTATTTCATCATATTTCAGTGGTTTCAAAATGAAAATATTAAAAAGAAAATTAAAAATGAATAAAAGAATAAAATAAGAATAAAAATGAGTTTTTATGGATGAGATTTACTGCAGGTGAACACTGATCGCTCCAGTTCATAGGTCAGTATTGGTAGCCCTTCCTATGACTCGGTAGCCATGAAGTAGCCCTCAGCCTTAAAAAGGTTGGTGACCCGTGGCCCAGAGGGAGTCTGTGTTTATGGAAAAAATCGAAATGATATGTGTTTCTTTTAAATTTAAATCGCACTTAATCACGTGAAACTGAATAAAAACTATATTTAGAGAATTAGAACAGAATTAGTTTCATTTGAAACTGGATTTCATTGTATTGAGACTTCTGCTAATCCTAAAACTCTTTCTAAAGTTCCTTCTTGTCTTTGTAAAGGAAAGACCAGAGTAATTAGATTACCCTCCAGCTCCTCCAGGGTAGGGTTGAATGATATGGCCAAAACTTATGCACAACATAAACCCATTTCCACTAGCCTCTGAAAACCGATCCGTGCCAAGTTCGGACCGAGCTTGGATCGGTTAACCATACAGAGCTCGGTTCCTCATAACCATTTACACACCAAACCAGCATGGTTCCTCGCCTCCTAGTGGCGATCTACGGTACTACTGTTCTCTAGAGGGGATTCTGCAAATCAAACGGCGGCCGTAACATTCAGGAAGTTTGGTTATCATTGTGATATTTCTTGCTTGTGGAAACTCAGGCAGCCTTTGCTGAATTTAACTGACAGGGTCGGCTTTTGGGAAGTGGAGATGTAAGGAGATGACGCATTCTGCTTATGCGCCGTTTTTCGTTTGAGAACTGAGCCAGATCTGAACCACGCCGAGCTCTACTGATGAACTAGTTTGGTTGTGTTTGGGATGGTTCAGTTTGCACTCAACAGTTATCTCGGTTACCGTGCTCGGACCGATCTCAGCACGGTTTCAAAAGGGTAGTGGAAATGGGGGCTTAACGATTAAATGCACATTAATCCAGATGATTGTCTCTATTATTTTCCTGTCCATACATTCTTCTGGTTCTGCTGGAGGTTTCTTCATGTTCAAAGGGAGTTTTTCCTCTCCACTGTCGCTACAAGCATGCTTAGTGTGAGGGATTGCTGAAGAGTCAATGAGTCGATGCAATCAGCTGGTTTCTCTTAGATAGAAAACTTTGAATCAATCTGACTGGATGATCTGGTGAACTGGAAAGTGACCTGAGATGACATGATGTGAATTGGAGTTATAGAAAAAATTGAATTGAAGTTCTCCATTATTGGCTCCTTTAGTTGTCCAGATTAACTGTCATGAGATTAATAAGACAAACACACCCTAGCCTGAAAGTCTGATTACGAATAACTATAATAAATTAGCAGAGGAACTCATAACTAGCTCTAAAAATAAAAAATAAAGGTCCCCAGTCAGTTCTAAAATATGTAACTTTGGATGAACCTTCAATACTTTAGGATTTTTCTTTTTTTATTAGAAAACTTTCAAGTTTGCCTTATATGTGGGATGCCAATTGAGCAGGTTTAGAACCAGCAGTTTAACATAGATTATGTTAGGTGTGGACTCACTATGCAGTAGGCCACCAGGGCTCCCTGCACAAAGCCAGCCAGGACGTCAGTCGGGTGGTGCTTGTGGTCTGAGACGCGTGACAAACCGGTGTAGAAGGCCATCATCAACAAGGTGAACTGGAGCAAGGGGCGTAGGAGGCGAGCGCCGCGCCAAGTGAACCTGGACTGGATGTAGAACTGCAGACAAGGTGGGAAGAAAGAGAGAAAAGAATCTGTAATTTCATTCAGGTGGCTTTTTATCTGTGCACCTGCAGCTGGTGTGTGTATCATTACAGTCTGAGAGGCACAGACTGAATCAAAGTGGGCCAGAGGAGACACATCCACAACAGAAACTCATGCTTGACTGCCTGAGACCTGGACTTGACTGATTAATGGTTACACTTTGCAGCTGTAAAAACACCACAACCACAGACATGGATAATACGAACTTACACACACACACAGACGGAGAACATTTTAACGCTTCCCTGCAATGGACTCTCTGCCTCTTATTGGTGTAACGAGCAGATGAAACAGATGCATCTCTCTCCTCCAGCCAAAGACCGTTTTCTGGGTCAAAATAAAAGCTGAGGGGAACCAAAACAGGAACAAGTCATTTCAAGGCCACTTTCAGTCACTTGCTTGGATCCTAAACATACGAAGGCTTGATCTCTTTTTTCGTCCACTAACATGTAGACTGTTAAGGTCAGCTCAGGTTCTTTAGACATCCTGTGTTTTGGCACACAGACATACCCTTCGCTTCCTGTCTCTCACACCCAATAGTTGGAAAGGTCCAGAAAAGGCTGGCTTAAGCCAATCAAATACTCAACCCAATCCTCTGTACTTAGATCATGTAATCCACCTGGCTAACAATACATACAGCTAACAATTGGGCTGCTAAGGAAGCTCTTATCAGGTATCCATTTAGGATTTCTACTATTTGAATTGTTTATTTTTTCCCCTGTCACATCATCCAATTAATTTAATCTGAGTAAAGGCAAAAATCCCATTTAGCTAATGGTTATAATTATGAGGAGATAAAAACTCAACCTGACCTTATGAGAAAAAATGCCTCCAAACCTAAAACCTAATGTGTCAGGGTTTGGTTGAGGTTTTGAGGACCCAAATGCAGAAGCAGGCAGAGGTGAGTTCTTGCATTTTTAATGGAGTTCTCAACAGGTTACAGAGGCAGGAATCCAAAAACCGAACACAAGAACGCACACAAAGCAGAACCATGGAGTGATGAGGGAAAACATGTACGGGGAGCAGCACTGAAGAACTGCACAGGGAGAGTATATATGGGAGACTGAACCAAGACTGGACTAATGAGCTGATTGAGAGCAGGAGTGAAGAGAGGAGTCAAAGGCAAATTGTGCACAACAAGTGTAAGAACCCCTTTAGCTTCTCCAAGTTTTACAGTCAGAAACATCAAGGCAAGGCAAGGCAAGGCTAGAAAGGAGCTAGGGAAAAGGAGACAGAGATGGGGACTCGAGTTTGTGACTCATACTTGAGTCGCACTAAAGTCGCATGTTTAATGACTTTAGACCCCTTTAGCTCCTCCAAGTTTTACAGTCAGAAACATCAAGGCAAGGCAAGGCTAGAAAGGAGCTAGGGAAAAGGAGACAGAGATGGGGACTCGAGTTTGTGACTCGTACTCGAGTCGCACTTAAGTCGCATATTTAATTACTTTAGACCCCTTTAGCTTCTCCAACTCTTACAGTCAGAAACATCAAGGCAAGGCAAGGCAATCCTAGAAAGGAGCTAGGGAAAAGGAGACAGAGATGGGCACTCGAGTTTGTGACTCGTACTCGAGTCGCACTTAAGTCGCATATTTAATTACTTTAGACTTTAGACCCCTTTAGCTTCTCCAAGTTTTACAGTCAGAAACATCAAGGCAAGGCAAGGCTACAAAGGAGCTAGGGAAAAGGAGACAGAGATGGGGACTCAAGTTTGTGACTCGTACTCGAGTCGCACTTAAGTCGCATATTTAATGACTTTAGACTTTAGACCCCTTTAGCTTCTCCAAGTTTTACAGTCAGAAACATCAAGGCAAGGCAAGGCTACAAAGGAGCTAGGGAAAAGGAGACAGAGATGGGGACTCAAGTTTGTGACTCGTACTCGAGTCGCACTTAAGTCGCATATTTAATGACTTTAGACTTTAGACCCCTTTAGCTTCTCCAAGTTTTACAGTCAGAAACATCAAGGCAAGGCAAGGCAAGGCTAGAAAGGAGCTAGGGAAAAGGAGACAGAGATGGGGACTCGAGTTTGTGACTCGTACTCGAGTCGCACTTAAGTCGCATATTTAATTACTTTAGACTTTAGACCCCTTTAGCTTCTCCAAGTTTTACAGTCAGAAACATCAAGGCAAGGCAAGGCAAGGCTAGAAAGGAGCTAGGGAAAAGGAGACAGAGATGGGGACTCGAGTTTGTGACTTGTACTCGAGTCGCACTTAAATCGCATATTTAATGACTTTAGACTCGACTTAGACTTGCTTTTGAAGGACTTCAGACTTGACTGAGACTCGTGATTTCTGACTCGTGAACAATATTTTATTTTTAAGTGTTTTTTGTTTTACTAACTTGACTGATCGCCGCTCGCCTTACCCGCACACAGCAGAGGTAAAAAAACAACAAAAAAACGGCAGAGTGGCTGTCAAACTGTCACGTAGCACTGACGTCACTGACGCAACGCTACGTGACATATGCCCGCGCGCCCGTGCGCATGCATGCGTGATCGACAAGCCAAGCTTTAAAAACTTCATGGCAGTCGTAGAGCAGAAAAAAAAATGTTGTGAATTGGCACTAAATAAATAAACTGAATTGAATTTAAAATACTGCCCGCCAAGTCGGTTCTGTCTGTTCCAGGGCATTAAGTTACAAAAAGTTATTGCCACAATGTTTCTTTTATGAAAGAATTGTTATCGTCCTGCTATTTATTTAGGGTTATTCTTTATCTGTTGTAGTTGCTAACTTCATATGTATTAATAAAAAGCAGGATTGTGATTGTTTTTTTTCCACAGCCCTCATTTTTACTTAAAAATAAAAGAGCAGACATTTACTCCTAAAACTAGAAAAAGTTGTAACCACAAATTTCAGGTAAATACTGTAAGAAAATTGTTGCTTCGGTCTCAGTGAAGGAGATGAAAACAGAAGGAGAAACAAGCAAGCACGCAAATTATTGCACTTGTTTAATTAATCGAGTGATTCGAATTAATTGTGCGATTAATTGATAATTGTGACAGGCCTTCTCAAGACTTGAGACTTGACTTGGACTTGCAAAAAATGACTTGTGAACATGTCTGAAAGGAGACCAACACAAAAAGGCAACAGAGGGCAACCAAGAAAAACCTAAGAACTCAAATACATCCAGAAACCACAACAAAATTAAAATTAAACAAATGAATCATGGATTAAAGTAAAACTGAATACTGAAATAAAAACTCAACAGAATCAAGAGCGTGACATTATGTCTCCCTAGGTGACATCTGCAGTCTGTTATCACTAACAATGAGACTCTGATATCAACGTGGATTGGTTGGAGCAGATCTTCTTTGCATATTATTGAAATGTTAGCCAACCGAAGCATCAATTAATTCGTAAAAAAAAAAAACGGATGGATATCTGGATTTTTTTTTTTTTTTTTTGAGAGTGAAACTCATATTTCCATATATTACTATCATCAAATCAACACTTGGCAACAATTTTATGTGCGATCCTTTCTCTGTTGTTTTCATGGTTTTACTTCGGATTCATCGACCCACTAAATTATTCCCCAAATATCGTGGAGATCATCTAAAGCAGGCACCTGCAACCTGCGGCTCCGGAGCCACATGTGGCTCTTTAGACCCTGTTCAATGGATCTTAATATTAGCCAAAAAATGACATAATGCTTTACTCTAAGAATAAAAACCAGTCTTAAAACATTTATTGTTTTTTATAATGAATATCTAAATTGAATTGTCTCAACAGAATGACATTAAAAGCACCAGAAATATCTTTTGTAGAGCTATTTTTCTTTTAACTAGCTTGGAAATTATGTGTTTTATTATGATCATATCCTACAGAAGAAAATCCATGCCTCATCTTAATGAATCTTTTGTCTTAAGATAGAAAAGCAAATAAAATGTTTGCCGTTTAAGATATTAACAGATTTCCTAAAGCAGTTATATATAAAAAAAAATAATAATATAATATAATTAAAAGTACTAAAAAGTCTTATTTTACAGTTCTAAATGACTTTTCTTTAGCCGGAGTAAAATGGCTCTTTGGATATGAAAGGTTGCAGATCTCTGATCTAAAGTAATCTTTAATTTCTTTGGGTCAAAGCACCGTCTGCAGCTTTTTAAGATATCTTAGTTTACTTCATGTTGTCAGGGACGCTCTATAAAGTGATTTCTTTATTCTAAAACTTCTGGTAGCCATCAGGCAGGTTATAACCTTTGAATCAAACTTTGATTTCTCAAAAATGAGCTTTAGGTTTAGACGTAAATCCTCTACATATTTCCTCTAAGGCACCAAATCATTGTTCTCTTCCCAGGCTGAGAGGAAGCGATCCCTCCCATCCCTTTCTGTCTCAGTCCCCTCCTCCCTCAGATGTTTAGACTTCAGGCTTCCTTTACGGCGGTTCTCAGGTATTGGACACGGACTGCTGATAAGGACTTGGGTCAGACAGTTTGACAGATGAAGAAAGTGAAAATGTCAAGCAAGCTTTGTTGGAGATTAAAGGGGAAAGAAATCATAACTCGACGTTCGTCAAAACAAGAACTGAACTGCAAGACAACATGACCTTATCTAGAGTCAGTAAACCCAGATAACCCAGCTAGAGCCTGATTCAGCAGAAGCTGCACGCCACAAACTCATGATAAACCTATCAGTGTCGATGACCGTTTGAAAGTGTCCTTTTTAAAGCTGTTATGCACTAAAACATCTCACTCTCCAACTCTGTCTTCTTCCTTTATTTTGTAAAGGAGGAACGCAACAATAAAACACAACAAAAGGAGCCCAAGCAGATTCCCATGACGGAGAGGAGCGACAAAGAGTCTGCTGGTTTCCAGAAGAATCCAGCTCGGTCCGCCGAGGCTTGCTCCCTTCGGGTCTCTCGCTCTGACTCAAAGTCCAAGTGTTAAATGTGCTTAAAAACACAAACAAACACAACAAAGCGGGAAGGAATGAGGATGCGGGCTCGTTGAACATGCCATT